TAGTTGGGATAACAGGCATGTGCCACCACACCCAGCTAACCTTTGTGGTTTTTTTTTTTTTTTTTTGAGATGGATGCTCTGTCACCCAGGCTGGAGTACAATGGTTTGATCCTGACTCACTGCAACCTCTGTCTCCAGGGTTTAAGGGATTCTCCTGTCTCAGTCTCCTGAGTAGCCAGGATTACAGGCACCCACAACCATGCCTGGCTAATTTTTGTATTTTTAGTAGAGATGGGGTTTCACCATGTTGGCCAGGCTGATCTTGAACTCCTGACCTCAAGTGATCTACCCGCCTCGGCCTACCAAAGTGCTGAGATTACAGGTGTGAGCCACCGTGCCAAGCCTTATCCTGCTTTTTAAAAAATATGAATTGTACCTCAGATAACCAAATAGATGGTGGAAAACATTTCTTTTTAGATGAAAAAGGAACGATAGACTATCAGCACTTTCCAGCTCCTAAATAAAATAATGGATGGAGATAGTGATCATTGGTGGCTGCTAAAACAATTAGACTGAAATGCCAATGGGAAACTTTCTAATAAGTGGATCAAGTAGACTGCATCTATCCACTGATGTATCTTAGCATCTCAAAAAAGAGATTATAGAGACTTTGTATGCTCTGATGTGGTGTGGTAGGAGGTATACCGTATGCCTTTGACGTTTTCTTTCTAAAATAAAATCTGAATCTGAGCTGACCTAGGTTTCAATTCTAATTTTCTGGAAGTGCAAAGGACAGAGGACCGTATGATTAGCAAAATACACAATGTGGGTAACTATAGCACAGTTTACTAGTTTTCTTCTGTAAGTAAATGGGAAGAAAAAAAGAGGGAGAGACACCCATAGATCACAAGATACTTCAAGACATGTGTTAACCAAATGCAATTTGGTTTGAACAAACCAACTGTTAAAAAAAGTTTTTCCCATGTAAATTTAAGACATTGACTAAATAATTTGTTATTAAGGAATTAGTCATTTTCTGATGTATAAATTTTTTTAAGTCCTTGTTGTCAGAGATATATACTACATATAATATTAATGAATGAAATGTCTAAGGCTTGGTTCAGAATAACCCAGTTAGTGGAGGGAGGGTGGCTGAATGTATTTTATGAAACAAGATAGGCTATGTGTTGATAATTGTTGAAAATCAGTGAGGGATATGTGATGGTTCATTGTAATGTTCTCTCTAATTTAGTAAATGTTTTGAAATTTCCATAATAAAATGACTTAAAAGTATAATATTTAAGTCTGTAATTGAAAAACATTTTTCTTTCCCCCCAAAACTACTTACAGCTTTAAATAGTCTGAGATACGCATGTTCACCTGTGCGATGATGTATACTGTACATCACTAAGTTTTACTGCAACACTAAGTTTTCTTTCTTGAGACAGAGTCTCACTCTGTCGCCCAGGCTGGAGTGCAGTGGTGTGATCTCAGCTCACTGTAACCTCTGCCTCCTGGGTTCAAGCCGAGCCTTATGCCTCAGCCTCCTGAGTAGCTGGGATTACAGGTGCACACCACCCTCGCCTAATTTTTATATTTTTAGTAGAGACGGGGTTTCACCATGTTGTTCAGGCTAGTCTCGATCTCCTGACCCTGTGATCTGTCCTTCTCGGCCTCCCAAAGTGCTGGGATTACAGGTATGAGCCACCATGCCTGGCCTAAACATTTTTGTTTTGAAGAAAATAAACATTACTTAAGTATGTGCGTGTGTGTGTGTGTGTGTGTGTATGTGTATGTGTGTGTGTGTGTATATGTATATATGTATATTTTGAGACATAGTTTTGCTCTTGTTGCCCAGACTAGAGTGCAATGGCGTGATCTCAGCTCACTACAACCTCCGCCTCCCAGGCCCAAGCTATTCTCCTGCCTCAGCCTCCCTGGAAGCCAAGACCATAGGCACCCGACACCATACCTGGCTAAATTTTTGTATTTTTAGTAGATACAGTGTTTTACCACATTGGCCAGGCCGGTCTCAGAACTCTTGACCTCAGGTGATCTGCCTGTCTTGGTCTCCCAAAGTGCTGGGATTACAGGCGTGAGCCGCCACGCCTGGCCTCCTTAAATAGTTTTAACCAACTGTTTTTCTCTGTTTCATTAAAGTACAGAACATCTGGGAAATCAGTGAAATCCTCACTAAAACGACATAGTTTTTGGTCTCCACTTGTAATAGTTTAATGTTTTATGATGTTTCAACCACATTAAAATATTAAAATAACTTAATTCCTTATTCTGCAGAATATATTAGAAATTATTAATTTTTACTATTAGCATGGATAATATAAATATTTTCAGTTCTGAGTGTGACTCATTCTGATAATGATTTAATAATCACCTTTCAATTAAGATTTGATATGCCAGAGAATTACACTCCAGAAATACTAATTTCCATCTTCTAGCTCCTTGGACAGATGTATGTATTCACACATGTAGACATTTCATGGTGTTTATTATTGCGGTGTTTTTGCCATTTAAATTGGCAGGAAAAAACCCACATTGAAATGTATTATATTTGACTGCTAGTAAAGTCAAATGTATTTCATTTGCTTCATAGATTTTTATTATGGGATATTGAATATGTACATAAAAGTGGACAATAACATAGTGAATATCTGTGCTCACCATTTAGCTTCTGTAATTATCAATTTATGGCCAGTCTTGCTATATTTAAACCGCTGTCCTCTTGTATATTTTTTGAAATAACTCCCAGACGTCACATGATTTCATCCATAAATACTCTAGTGTGCAAATGGTTTTTCATCTGGTTATTATCCAGTTATATTAACCCTTTTGTGAACTATTTCTTGTCCAGGTCCATAGTGTATTTTTGTTCATTTTCAGTACTTTAATACATTTTTAACATACAGACAATAAATAAATAAAGGTTTGGTTTTCTGTATGGGCCTTAACTTGATGAAGGCAGTAAGTTCAACTTTGGACAACTGAAATTTGAAATGCTTATGGGATATCCAACGATTACAGGTTTTTAATAGTTTGTAGTAGACTGCTTGATCCTTCAAAGTGTGAGTGGTGAAGGCTTGGTGCGGATAATGTTATTCAGGGAGATTTTGGTGGAGTGAAAAGTAAAAGGGGTAAGTGGATGTTTATAAAATATTTGAGGGATGGGCATAGAAAAGACATCTACAAAGAAGACTGAGAAAAATATTTTTGGGAAAAAGAAAAGTTTAGGACTGTGACATCTGTGAAGGGAACAGTTAATAATGTCAGATGTAGTAGAGAGATCAAAGAAGATGATCAACAGAAATATGCATTGGATTTTATGGCTGACCAAAAGAAAATAGTTGCAAACACAGGAGACAGTATGTTATCGTGATGCAAGACTTGGATTTGAATTTTGGCTGCCGCTTATCTTGCTATGTTATGTTTGGAAATATTACTGGTTATTGCATTTTAATTTCATATAGAATTGTAAGTGTAAACAAGAAAATAAAACATACACAAAATACACATGTATATCTGTTGAGACTCTGTTAGCTATTTGTTTCAAGAATATTCCCCAGACATCTTGAAGCATAGTTACAATAGCTGCTTTTGTCTGATAATTCCAACATCTGTGTCACCTTGGGTTTATTGTGTATAGCTTGTCTTTTCTTTTATGAGTTATTGATTTCCTTAATCTTCATATGTTGAGTAAGTTTGAATTGTATGTTAGGCACTTTTTTTTTTTTTGAGACAGAGTCTTGCTCTGTTGCCCAGGCTGGAGTGCAGACATGATCTCCGCTTACTGCAACCTCCACCTCCCAGGTTCAAGCTATTCTTGGCCTCAGTCTCCCTAGTAGCTAAAATCACAGGCATATGCCAACATGCCCGGCTATTTTTTTTTTCTTTTTTTGAGACTGTTCCCCAGGCTGGAGTGCAGTGGCATGATCTTGGCTCTCTGCAACCTCCACCTCCTGGGTTCAAGCGATTCTCCTGCCTTAGCCTACTGAGTAGCTGGGATTAAAGGCACTCACCCCGATGCCTGGCTAATTTTTATATTTTTAGTGGAGATGGGGTTTCAACATGTTGGCCACGCTGGTCTTGAACTCCTTACCTCAAGTTATCTGTTATCTGCTCACCTTGGCCTCCCAAAGTGCTGAGATTACAGGTGTGAGCCACTGTGCCCAAAACTGAGATAAATCGTAGGGATTCCTCCCATGCTTGTAGGACCCCTTGCGAGGTTCTGCTTTCTTGGAGTTTTAGGTCCTTGTCTAGCTGCTGCTGGTGTTACCACAGCTGCTCTCATGAGACTGCCTTGGGAAAGGGCAGAGAAAAACAAGAGATTTTTCTTTTGGACAACTTTCTGCCTACACTTAGCCTGCAGTTCTGGGTTTGGGGCTGCCTTTGAGTCAGGCTCAGGGGAGGTACCAGAGGGAAACAAAATCAGGAAAATCACTGCTGGACTAGTGGTACTTCTAGTTGTGGTTTTCTCCCTAAGCCATCTGCTACTATTTCCCAAGTCCTCGAATAGCTGCTCCATGCATTCTGTCCAGGTTTTTAGTTACATTCAGTGGGAGAGACAGAATGGACTATGCCTACTCTTCACTGGAACCAGAACATAGATATCACTTTAATTTTATTATAATTATATTGTTCACTTCTTTTGGTTAAGGATTTATTGTGTACCTGTGATTTACTAGGCTTTGCTGTACATTTACCAGGAAATGGATGATCTAACATGCCTGCTGGGTCACAGATAGTGAAGGGATGTGGGGATGGAGGCAGAAGGTAAACAATTACATATTTATTAGTAGTGAATAATTGGGTTATTAATTTTAGATATTTTGGTCAATTTCTGCTTCAGACTTGACTTACTACTTATGACTGAGGGAAAGAATATCTGATACATATTGTTAATTTTTCATTTCTCAAAATAGAAGGGATGAAAAGTCTCTGTATATGTATGGTCTGGATATAATTAAGGCATAATTATAAGAAATATAATTACATATAGAATTATAAGAACTTTAGAAATAATTTATTATTATATACTTATTTCTCAGGTCTTAGAAAAATACCTCAATACACCCATGAGTCATAAAGAAATTCTTCAGGTTATCCAAAGAGAAGGACTAAAAGAAATCAGGTGAGTTATTTATATATATTATTAGTAATAATTAATAATACTTGATCAGAGTATTTGGTAGCATATAGTAGTATCCTTTAGTCTTGAAGATTATTCATTAAATTTTAATCATTTGTTAATGGTTTATTCAGCTGTCAGATCCTTGGAATTTTTAAGTCATTACATAGTTTTAAAACCAGAAATTAGTTAAATTCTTAGGAGGAGCATAGCTATCTTTAAGCTCATGCACTTTAAATTTTAGGAAGGGCTGGAGCCATCTTCAAGCCTTCATCTGTTACTTCAGGCTTTTGATTTAATAAACTTGGTCATTAGTGATAAAAGTTATTGTCATACAGGGAGAGTCCTTGAGGTCGACAGATAGTCTAGGAAGAAATAACACTGGCTAAAAAGGATAAAATGAAAAAAAGCAGTATATATGTCAAGTAATGATCTTACCGTGTTCAAACATAATAGACTTGGGTCATTAATACAGGATTAAAGATAACACACACTTTAATTTCTAAGAACCTTATTATATTACAATAACAAGCCAGGCATGGTGGCTTACACTTGTAATCCTAGCTCTTTGGGAGGCTGAGATGGGAGGATTGCTCGAGGCCAGGAGTTTGAGACCAGCCTGGCCAACATAGTGAAACCTCATCTCTACAAAAAATGGAATTAATTAGATTTGGTGGTGTGCTCCTATAGTCCTAGCTCTTTGGGAGGCCGAGGTGGGAGGATCGCTTGAGTCCAGCAGTTTGAAGCTGCAGAGTGCTAAGAAGATGCCACTGCACTCCAGCCTGGGCGACAGAGCAAGACTCTGTCTTGTAAAAAAAAAAAAAAAATCACAATAATACCTAATAGTCAGTGTTCTTTATATTTTTAGACAGAGTCTTGCTCTGTTGCCCAGGCTGGAGTTCAGTGGCACAATCTTGGCTAACTGCAACCTCTGCCTCCCCAGTTCAAGAAATTCTCCTGCCTCAGCCTCCTGAGTAGCTGGGATTATAGGCACGCACCACCCTGCCCGGCTAATTTTTGTATTTTTAGTAGAGGCGGGGATTCACCATGTTGGCCAGGTTGGTCTTGAACTCCCAACCTCAAGTGATCCATTGGCTCAGCCTCTCAAAGTGCTGGGATTACAGGCGTGAGCCACCGCACCCGGCCAATAGTCAATGTTCTTAATCAAGGCTCTCTAACATCAGGAAATGTTAAACTTATATTAAGTATGCTCTGTATATTAAGACAGAAAATTGGGAGACTATGTTAGATTTTCATTAACATAGGAAAAGCTGCAGTGCTTTCAAACTACTAGTTGTTTTCAGCTATGGGTGGGATTGTATAACACCCTTAGAGAAAGAGTTCAGAATTTTGGGGGGCTGATTTTGATTATACAGTGATTGCAGTGGGGGAACACAGTGTCATTTAGTGGGCAGGTCACAGGAATGCTAAATGTCTGGCACTGTGCTGGATATTGCTTCACATTGAATAGTTTTTCATCTCAGGTACCAGTAGTGTTCCCATTGAGAAACAGGAAGCTATGCCCAAATATCTGTAAATGGACAATATATTTCCTGATGAATAGCCATTGCATGTTCTAGGTTTTGTTTCTCATTTTCTTTTATTTTGAGACAAAGTTTTGCTTTTGTTGCCCAGGCTGGAGTGCAGTGGTGTAATCTCAGCTCACTACAACCTCGCCCCCCAGGTTCAAGCGATTCTTCTGCATCAGCCCCCCAGTAGCTGGGATTACAGGCATGTGCCACCACATCGGCTTATTTTGTATTTTTAGTAGAGACAGATTTCTCCATGTTGGTTGAGCTTCTCTCAAACCCCTGACCTCAGGTGATCCACCCATCTCGGCCTCCCAATGTGTTGAGATTACAGGCATGACCACCACACCTGGCCTTTTTCATTTTTATTTTTTTAAGAGATAGAGTCTCTGACTGGGCGCAGTGGCTCATCCCAGCACTTTGGGAGGCCAAGGTGGGCAGATCACGAGGCCAGGAGTTCGAGACCATCCTGGCCAACATGGTGAAACTCTGTCACTGCTAAAAATACAAAAATTAGTTGGGCATGATGGCATGTGCCTGTAATCCCAGCTACTCGGGGGGCTGAGGCAGAAGAATTGCTTGAACCAGAGAGGCGGAGGTTGTGGTGAGCTGAGATTGTGCCACTGCACTCCAGTCTAGTGACAGAGTGAGACTCTGTCTCAAAAAAAAAAAAAAAGATGGAGTCTCATTATATTGCGCAGCCTGGAGAGCAGTGGCTGATCATGGTACACTTCAACTCCTGGCCTGAAGTGATTCTCCCATTTCTGCCTCCTAAAGCCAGGACTATGGGCACTCATTTTTTTTTTCATTGACATGAAATTCTAATTGAGTTTTTAAATTGGCTTTCTCTAAAGCAGTTTCCATTTTTTTTTTGTTTTGATTTATAGTGAAACTTCAGTAGGCTGAAATAAATTAGGTTTGCTTCATGGATATGAAAAAGTGAATTATAAATTAGTGTTATATAACACATCCCTGAAAAATGGAATGTAAACATTTTAAAATTAAAACTTTAAAATGCATTTGAAGGCTGGACGCAGTGGCTCACGCCTGTAATCCCAGCACTTTGGGAGGCCGAGTGGGTGGATCACGAGGTCAAGAGATCGAGACCATCTTGGTCAACATGGTGAAACCCCGTCTCTACTAAAAATACAGAAACTTAGCTGGGCATGGTGGTGAATGCCTGTAATCCCAGCTACTCAGGAGGCTGAGGCAGGAGAATTGCCTGAACCCAGGAGGCGGAGGTTGTGGTGAGCCGAGATTGCACCATTGCACTCCAGCCTGGGTAACAAGAGCGAAACTCCGCCTCAAAAAAAAAGAAAAGAAAAGAAAAATCAGCCAGGCATGGTGGCGTGCACGGTAATCCCAGCTATTCGAGTGTCTGATGTAGGAGAATAGCTGGAACCTGGGAGGTGGGGGTTGCAGTGAGCTGAGATTGTGCCACTGCACCCCAGCCTGGGCAACAGAGCAAGATTCCATCTCAAAAAAAAAAATACATTTCAAGAATTTGCTTTTAAAAATACTTTTTGTGGGCTGGACGCACTGGCTCACACCTGTAATTCCAGCACTTTGGGAGGCCGAAGCAGGAAGATCATGTGAGGTTAGGAGGTCTAAATGTCAGTATCATTCAGCTCTAACATAGTAAGCCTTTGGGACTTTAAACTTGCCATGATTATTTCCTGGGAGCAAGCAGGAATAGTAAATAAAGATTAGTAAACAAAACAAAACAACAGCAGGTTTTTTAAAAAAGCTAGTAAAGTATGTGGATCATCAGATAGCTTCTGGTTCACTTGGTGACAATTTAAAGTAGCTTTTCCTGGTTAAACTATATTGTGGTTATGCAGTTATGGGAACACAAAACAGTTCTTTCTACGTCACCAGTAACTTTCATTTTGCCAAATCTACAGGATTTTTACTTCTTGCCTTTTCTACCTCTTAGAATTATTTAACATAGGAGGCTATTGTATTACTTCCTTCTTGAAACTTAAGTGATGCCATGAAGTTTCCTACCTTCCTTCCTCTCTAAGCTTTCTTTCTCAGCGTTTGTGCTAATAACCTTCTCTCCAATTTAAATGCCGTTTTTATTTCCATTTCCATAGCTTTAAATATCATTTCTGTTTTGTTAACTTCCACATATATAAGGAAGCTACTTTCCCTCTCAGTTTCTGTACCTGCTGACCGCCCTTAGCAGGGGATGTGCTTTCACTCAGCTATTTGACAGTTAAATCTTTCAGGTCTCCATTTGGGTACCTCTTTTTCAGAGAGAATTTTGCCTGACTTAGTGGTCTTGATCATATCTACCTATTTTAATTTGTTTTAGTGTTCTGTGTTTTTTTCTTTTCTTTTCTTTTTTTTTTTTTTTTTGAGACAGAGTTTTGCTCTTGTCACCCAGGCTGGAGTGCAATGGTGTGATCTTGGCTCACTGCAACCTCCGCCTCCCGGGTTCAAGCGATTCTCCTGCCATAGCTTCCCAAGTAGCTGGGAATACAGGTGCGTGCCACCACGAGTGGCTAATGTTTGTATTTTTAGTAGAGACAGAGTTTCACTGTATTGGCCAGGCTGGTCTCAAACTCTTGACCTCAAATGATCGACCCTCCTTGGCCTCCCAAAGTGCTGGGATTACAGGTGTGAGCCACTGCTCCCAGCGTGTTCTGTGTTCTTCATAGCATTAAGGTCTGAAATTATATATTTTTGTGATTGTAAAAAAACATACTATTTCTCTGTACCTTACATTAAGCTAGCTCCAGAGGCAGTGACACTATCTTTCCCCCACCCCTCAGCATATGGTACATAAATATGGTGCATAGCATTTCAAACCTGCTTGTTTACAACTAACTGAAAAAAGAAAAAGAAAAAAAGAAGAAAATAAATAAATAAATAAAACCTCATTGCTAATGAATATATGGTTGAAAGATCATTTTCATATGTAGTTATAGATCATTCTCTTGCTGCAGTGATATGTCAAATGGTAGACTTTTTTTTTTTAATCTGAGACCGGTTCTCGCTCTATCACCCAGGCTGGAGTGCAGTGGTGCCTCGGCTCACTGCAGCCCTGTTTTTTGGGGATCAGGCAATCCCATGACCTCAGCTTCCTGAGTAGCTGGGATGAGAGGTACATGTGCCACCAACGCTAGCTAATTTTTGTATTTTTTGTAGAGACAAGGGGTTCACCATGTTGCTCACATTGGTCTTAAACTCTTGGACTCTAGCAATACTCCTGTCTTGGCCTCCCAAAGTGCTGGGATTACAGGCGTGAGCCACCATGCCCAGCTGGTAGTCTTATACTCTTAAAAGTTTTTAGAAAGATTACAGAATGAAACACGTACTATGCTTCTCAAAGGTGTGTGACTACTTCCTGTTTTATTTTCATTCCTCAGACCTCAGTACATGACTTGGAACTCTTCTCCCTTTATATTTTCCCTTTGGCTCCTACATTTGGAAGAATTTTGCTTTGATTATTCAACACCAGTTTTGATT